AAATCTGAAAAACCGATTTTTTTGGTACTTAGTGGTTTAATATAAGGGTGAGCATTTGGGCCTTTGGACCGGCTTCAACAGGAAAGTTCAAGGCCCACTAATTTTTGCAAAACCGATCCGGTCCAAGAGTCGGTCCGTTCCGATTCGGTCTAAATACTCACCCCTACAATTGTAATAGATAAACTAACTTTCGGTAGGCTTCAACGAATTGTACCATATGCACCTAAAGTTATACCAGTCCAACAGATGCAAAAACCGGAAAACCTGGACCTGGACCGGCCTCAACCGATTCGGTCCAAAGTGTCCAAGAACCAGTTCATTCGATCAAAATGCTCACCCCTAGTTTGATATCTTTATTTCCTATCTATTTTTAGTTGCAGGAAGATGATCAATTTAGGGCAATACCATCGGTCTATGATATCGTGAGCAAGTGGGATCAGTCGGTTAGAGTGTTATTGTGCTGCAACGGGTTTGTGAACCCCGCTTCCTCCTCCTCCTCCTCCCCTCTATCTCGTTCATTCATTCTTTCTTTCTTTATTTCTCTCTCTCTCTCTCTCTCATCCTTGTGCATTAAGTAGTTGTCTTTCTTGCTTTAGGACTTGTACCAAACTAATTTAGTATGTTTTTAATTAATTTGTGAATTGCTTTTGTATGTTTTAACGTTTTTGTTAATTAATTTTGAAGGGTTTTAATTAGTGTGTATTTAATTTAAAACAAAAAATTAAGTGGGTTGAGTGGATTGTGAATGATAGAATTTTCATGTGTTGTAGGTTGGGAGTGTTGCAAGAAAGAGGAGAGAGAAAAGTTGATGTGAAAGTGAGTTAAGTAAGTTGGGAGAGAATGACTCCTCCTTCCTAACTACGCAGGTAAGTGTTTATATTTATAAGGTGTATTTGAAGTCAGATTTACATGAGATCTTTTTCAGTATGTAGTTTATAGTTTGTACTTCAATTTAGGCTATAATTTCATCATTTTTGGTTCCATATTGAATGAGTTAGGGAGAAGGGAACCCTTCCCTCCCAACCCACTCAACTGACACCACCTAGCTTTTCTATCTCTTCTATTTTCTATCTTTTCTAACCCATAACATATGAAAACATTATCTTTCCCAACTCACTCAACTCACTTGTCATATCATTATTTTTTATTTAATTAAATTAAAATTTATAATATAAAATAAAACATAACATTTTTTGATTTAAAAATAAAGTTATGCTAATTTAAAACAGAAAAAAGTGTGAGTATTATCTCATAAATTTAGACAAAATTATATTAAAAAAAAGACTCACGGATGCATCAAATACAAAAAATGGCATGAAATCAATTCTTCTTTCGATTGAATTATCACATTTACTTTTCACTATGCCAAAACAAAATAAAATATAGAAAATCTTTTTCTTTTGTGTCAAGTCAAAGTGACAATCAAAAGAAAGAGACATTAAATGAAGAAATTAAATGGTGGGTTCACGAACCCATTGCAATCAAATAAATGAGGTAACCCACTCAACCCGTTATTCTAAGGTATGGTTTTTCGGCACTACCCCGGTACCGCCCTATCCCACGACTTACCCGCTCACGATTCTATTTGCCCTTACAGTCCTTTGAAGTCGGAGTATCAAAGTTGAAAGTTTTTCAGCTTTTCAACTTTAAACTTCCGGGTCCGATTCTCTTTACCCGTTTCATCCGGACCCACTATACTCGAAACTCGTTTTAGGCTTATATTAATAATTGATACTCGAACCAATTTAGCTTATACCGATTATAATTGGTCTAGTTCCGATGGGTTTGGAGAGCATCCCTACATATAGGCGGAGTTGCAAGTAGAAAAAAGGTAACAAAGTCAAATTAAGGTATTATATAAAATGAAACTTTATATTAATTTTGACTCCTATATGACTGAGTTTTATCAAATTCGATTTATTTGGCTAATAACATAATCCTACTCAATAACAACGGGCTAGGGCTTAGGTATCACATAATCAACCACCTGAACTGATTTTGATTTTTACAACTTGCAAAATATAAGATAAAATAAAAATACCCATCAATTCATCATAAAACATCCAAACCTCAATACACCCGACCCGGAAAGCTTGTTGGGCCACTCCAACAAACCCGCCCTATTTTGAACATCGGCTGACACCCAGACTACCAAAACACTTTTGTTCGTTCTCCCCTTCTCATACCTTGTTCGACCGCGGAGAAATATACCTTGTCCGACCGTGGAGAAACAGGCCAGTTTAAGCTCTTTCACATTTAGCAACCTTTGTTTTCGCTGATCGATCCTTCTTCTAGGTTTGATTTTCCCTGCTTTTCTTCTTGTATGTATCCCTTAAACCTATCAGTTCTTCATGTCTTCTTAATTACGTGAAATTATCTGTTCGTTTTGTACTTCAATGTGGACGGATTGCCTTTGATTTCCTTGTAATCTTGGTTCTAGGATTTTCAATACATGTACTTCATTGGAATCATATGTGAATAAGTTGCTAATTTTGTTCTTTTGCATTTTAATTGTACAAGAGAGAGGAAAATGGTGGGTTCTGCGAATGGCGCGACGGACTTGTCATCAGAGATGGAGGTTGATGCTTTCAGAAGACTTTTTCCTCTACGATTTCACGAGCGCCATTTGCTCGAGTCCGTAAGGCCCGATGCCAGGTCACTTGGTAAAGCCAGAGAAACGTCATTGGCTTTAGGTTAGTCTAATTTTACCAACTTTCGATGTTCTTATTCAATTTGTATATACAGTTATATGCTTCTTTACCATTCAACACTGATACTTCGATTTCCCTCTTGTAATTTAGGGGCAGTGGCATCTGCAGATGGATCAGCACTAGCAAAGATAGGCTGCACTGTAAACCCTGTTTCACACACTTAACGAATCCTTTTATTGTTATTCTATATACACCATTATCAACTCAAAGTAGATGCATAATCTTCTCGCATGTTGTTCTTACAGACTATGTTAGCTGCCATTAAAATGGAAGTTATGACACCTTCAAAGGAAGCACCTGATGAAGGCTGTGTAGGTTTGACTACACACTTTATATCTGCCATTCTTTTGCTTCATTGTTCTAATCACATTGTCCCTCTTGTATCTGATGTTGTATCCTTTTGTTCCAGCCATAGATTTCCACATGCCTCCAATTTGTTCTCCTATTGTTAGGCCTGGCAGGCCTGCTGAAGCTGCACCTGTTGCGTCCAAACAGCTATCTGACACTATCATTAGGCAAGCTTTCGATCTTATTTCTTATATTCAATAACTTTTAACATTTGAAAACGGTTGCATGTTACCTTTTTTGAGATTTACATGGACCCCGTAGTCAATGAGGCATGGGAATTGTATCTTTCAGAATGATAGACCATATTTGCTTTCTTTGTAAATTCTTTGAGGTGACAATGTTACCGGTTGTTGTAGGTGACTAGGTGCTAATTGTTATTCTATTCTTTAAAGAAATATTAGAATAGGGCAAAATACAGAAAAGTAATTTTACTTTACTATTTACTGTAGTGAATAGTGATTAAGTCATTATACTTTGTTTATTACAGTTCTGGGATGATTGATCTAAAAGAGTTGTCATTGGTCAGTGGCAAAGCTGCTTGGATGGCATACCTGGTATTCATCATCTAAAAATTTCACTAATCACTACACTCATGCTCTTTCAGATGAATTCCTAAATTAAATTTGTATGAAATGATGTTGCTTTTTCAGGATATATACTGTTTGGATGCTGATGGTGCACTATTTGATGCTGCCCTACTTGCTGCAGCTGCTGCTTTCTCCCATTGTAAGTGGTTTTGACATTTCTGATTTCCTGTATTCATGTTAGTCGACTTTGGGGTATATTTTTATAGCCATGGTCGTATATTAGTGTGCCACTGAATCAATAACCATAAGCAACTGCCTAATTGGAAAAAATGAAGGAAAGGATAGCTGAAAACAATGAAATACTAGTTCTATTGAATTAAAATAAAAAGTCAACATGTAGGTCAAACTTTTGTGATGCTAGTTAAGATTCGATTCCATTACATTGATGTTGCAGTGCAAATTCCGGTGGTGTCGTTGAATGACGATGGAAGAATTGTGGTTGTTTCCAAGGAAAATGGAGAGAAGCCAAAAAACAAACCCGTGAATGAGGAGAAGAGAAAGCTTAAATTGAGAAGCATTCCTTTTGCATTAACTTGCATACTTCACAAGAACTACATCTTGGCTGATCCAACGGCTGAGGAAGAATCCATCATGGATACATTGATCACAATCGTATTGGACACATCTTGTCAACTCGTGTCTCTTTACAAGCCAGGTGGTCCCGCTCTTGCCTACGAGTCCGTGCTCCAGGTCAGCCCACAACTTTACTTTTCAAATACCAAGAAATAGCAATGCACTTTTATAAAATATAGCAATAAGAATTGTCTTGTTTGGTTGACATTATGTAATAATAATAAATGAAAGTACATTGCTATTAATGAATGATATTGAGGGAATTTGGTTTGGAATGGGTGCAGGATTGTATTGCATTGTCAAGACAAAGAGTGAAAGAGCTTCAGAAAATCCTCAATGAAGCCATTCTTGATATGGATGTGGATTAACTTTCAACCAAAAGGTTTCCTAAGCATCTTTATTACTTGTTCTTTCTTTTTGTTTTTTTGTTATGTAATTTCTTTTCCCAGAGCTATATTTACCAAATCCATGGCAATCTGTTGCCTAAGGATTTGGAGTTTTCTCTAAGCTTTGTAAAAGGGTTGGTTGGCTTGGCTTTAAATTTTGGAATGTGGTTTACGTATAGACTTTTATGGTCAACTATGGCTTGCAACGTGTTGAAACTCCATTTTTCCTTCTTACATGCTTTTAATCTGGATAAATGATAGATTAAAAATATGTAGCTTTTGATGTTCTTGTTAAGTCGTTTTTTTTTTAAAAACTCTGTATATATAGTTTACAGATGGTTTTTTTACCCATACTGAGTTGAAGGTTAGACAATAGTAAAGGGACTTTTAACAGATTTTACTGCATTCCAACTCCACCTCTTTCTTCACTTTAAAAAAAACACAAATAAACATCCATCTATCAAGAATCTATAAAAAAACAATGACAATCTACATAAAGAATGGTACAAAAATCGTAGCCAAGTGTACAACACCCTATGCAATGTTTGTTCAAACCAAGTCCAGTAACATCGGATCACCTGCTGCCATGACTCTAATGAGCTTTATAAAGTCTTCCTCATTCGAGACCACCACCGGGTGAACCGCAGGTGCTTCCGGAGAATAAAAACTGATGGAAATGTCTTTAGGTGGTTTCTTCCTGTATACCATCTTCTTAAACACAGAATCGAAATTCCGGGGGGAATCCATTGCTATAAACATCATCGGAATCGCGACTTTCTGGTGGATATCGAGATCACCCACAAGGTTTACGAGGTCAATGAAGTCAACCACGAGCCTTCGAGGGATATAGAACACCTCTGAACCGCAAACAGTGAGGGTCGATTCGTGGTTGACCGTGTGGTCCTTGTAACTGACCTGCAAATGAGCCGGCATTGAGCTCACAACTTCCTTCACCATCTCCGCTTGTTTTCCGTGAAAATCCTTGTTGCCATCGTATGGAACGGTGCTCCAAGATCTTGATACCTACACAAACAAAAGGGTAAATCCGTCAAATCACTTTCTTTTTGCAACTAACATAAGGGGTAAATGGGTCGCATCACTTTCTTTCTCGACCTTCTTTTGTGATCCAACACAAAAGGTAAATCGGTAATATCACTTTCTTGCTTTAGCAAAAAAGATAGGGTAAAATAGTCAAATCGGTAAATATCACTTTCTTTTTTGATCAAACATCAAGGGTAAATCGGTCATATTACTTTCTATTTTTAACCGGACATAAGGAATAAATTGGTCAAATCACTTTTTTTTTCAGTCGGAAATCAGGTAAATAATCTGTCGAATCAATTTCTTTCTCAAATTAATAATTCTCAACAAGCCATATTAGGGGTTGTCCAATGTCATTTAAAGGGTACTATAGACATCTGACTAATAGTCAAACACTATTATAAAATAAAGTCGAACATAGTAATTCTCAGTACCTTGTCTGTTATCCAGAGCTTATTCTTGTCTGCTTGGACCAAGTTCCAGTAATTAAGAATCGTATCATCCTGTACAAACAAAAACCCTTCTGCACTCTCAAATCTATCAAACAATCTTGGAAGTTGCCTGCCACACACATAAAAACAAACTAATTTGTTACAAGCCCAAATGTCTAAAATACCCTTGCCTTGGTGAATCCGTTTACCATATCACTCTTTAAAATGCAAGACAGTATGAGCTCAATCTTTCAAAATTTATACACTATACTAGCCAAAAGGATTAAACATTCTCAAAAGTCCCAACTTTGCCCTTTGTTATTTTCTAAAGTTCATTTATCTTGATGGGAAAAGGACAGAAATAGGAACTTACTTGTATAAATGATCCAAGTGACCTTCTTCAACAACAAGCTCACGATTCTTCTTATTTGCCAAAATAATTACAGACTTAAATACCCTTCCATATAGCAATCTCCATTCCAAAGCTGTCCTTTCAACATCTCCATTACAAAACATTATAAGAACAACATTCCCAAAATTCTTTCTCCATCTTACCAAATTCCCAATCTCATAATTTACTGTACTCGTTTCCTCAACTCCAAGATAAACACTCGGTAACTTTTGAGGCACAAAATCCTTCCTATCTCCATAATTAACAACACCTACTCCTTTCAACTTATCCAACTCAAGTCCCATTAAACGAGGCTGCAAATAACCCACAGAAACCAAATCTTGAATCCATGCAACCGTAAATTTCACATCTTTTTCACTCCAAAACCGTTCTTTACCCATCATGTAACTCAACTCAAGAATCTTTTCAAACAAACCGGTCTTGTTTGATCTCCAAGAAATCAAGAACTTGATCAAATCACCCACGTTTACATGAAGATCTTTCTCTTCTGCAAATGGGTATGATTCGAATTTATCGGATCTATGAACAGTAGGAGGATAAACAACCACATAACCACCAATTTCCCACAAAAGGCGTTGTGCCCAATAGCCACGTAGCACATCCGAAGCCATGGAACTAACTGAAACAGGAAGCATTAAGCCCCAGAATGCAGAGTAATGAAAGATTGTGTTGAAAGAATTCACGGGTACCATTGTTCCTTGAGGAAATGCAACTTTTGGTGCATGTTCATCGAATTTGATATCGAATGGTTCTTGATTTTGTTTTCGTGTGAAGTAGAAGACTGAATCGATGTCAGGTAAACCGTTGGAAATCCCTTGTTGGATGAATTGATTCCCACTGAGGACTTCGTTGTAGTGTTCTTCGTGTTCTATTTGACCTACATTCTCTAATGGTAATCCTCTTGGCCAAACGGATCTTTGGCCAAAATGGATGTAAGGGTTTAGAACAGTTCGATTTGGGTTATCGTGGTTATATTGCAATATGATCTGTTTTTTAGCGTTTTGACCTAATTCAATATCGAAATGTTTGTTGATGTTATCATCAATCAGTTCTCCTCTATCATCGAAGTCGAAGATTTTCTTGGCACCATGTTGGATAGCAAACAAATACCCCACAGTTTTTCTAACGTATGAATCGTAAGGCAAGTAATCAACAACGCGAAACCCTAATTTTGCTTGATCGTCGAGGGATAAGAAGATGGTACCTTTGAGACTCCAATCGTTAGGAGTTTTTGAGTTTCCGACAGCAAGAACTTGCCACCCTTTAATCTTTAGGAGTTTCATAAGCGAATCTGATGGATAATCTGATACCGAAACGATGATCCATTGGTCTGATCTGAATTTCGAATAAGGGGTGGTCTTATCAGTGATGGGTAGGATGGAATCGTAATTGATTTTTGGGAAATGGATGATGGTTTCGATTTGTTTGACTTCTTGTTGGAAGCAGAAGAAGGTGGCAGAGTCGCTGATGTTACGAAGGAAGAAGACGGCTGCGACGGAGGCGATCAGGAAGGCAATTGTGATGATTTTGTAGAGGTTTTCGGAAAACCAGGTGGAGAAATCGAGTGATTTAGATGGGGAAAATCGATTTCGAAGAGTCCTTGGAAACAATGATGATTTAGGGTTCTGGGGTTTGGATTTGGGGACTGAACTATCTTGTTGGACCAACATCGGATCAATCCCGCATTCCTACACTCACTAAATTCGTTGTCAGTTTGGGACTCGAACTACAAATTAAACTCGAATTCAGTAGCGAACTTATCTTAATTTGTGCAGGATCACTCTCGAAAAAGCACATACTAGTGGGTGTTCCGTGTTCTTGAACTGAAGCTGCTACTGGTTGGAATCTACACGTGAACGTGATCGCTGCGGTCTTTTTTGATTTCTTTATTTATTTGTAAGTTGTCTTCAACTTGACTTTGATTTGTATTTTAGTCCCTCAACTTCGAAAATTTATCTAGTAAATGACCAGATTTTCGAAAATTATTAATTTTCGGTAATATTAACAGAAAAACCAGTTATTTTGCTTGTGTATATTAACATGGATTTTTATACTTTCTATTTATATTAAATTGGGTAATACTTGAATGTCTATGTACGAGCTGTAGTTGTTTCTGATACTTTAAATACTTAGTACAAAAACTTTAGATCATCACACACTTAATAGTTTTGGTGTTTACGAAACCAAGTTATTTGAGTAAGAATACATATATGTTCGTAACATACATATGTTCATACATAAATATGTATATGCAGATATGAACATACACATATTCAACATGAACATATATCTGTATATTTATATGTTTAGTGATTTCTCAGATAATTTGTGTTTTTAACCTTATTCTAGTAATTTATATAAATGTTTTATGTGTTGTAATTTTGTATCATTAGTTCATTACTTCTACAGTAAACTCTTTGTTATTTCATTAAAGGGAATACAAATAAGATACCATGCATCCATTCGATTCTAAAAAGCCCATTAAACAAAGTAATGCACCGACAATAACATGTTAACAAAACCGAAATAACAAAAATCATATTGTTCATATTGTGCCACAAAATTTAAACAAAAATAATATGTGGGAGACATGATTTGCTTTACAGCTGCCATTTTAATTTAAAAAAAAAAATGAATGAAACAAAGATGTCAAACAGACAAGATGCTGAATAATTTATGAATACTAAAACTATAAACATGATTTTTTTTCGAGCTTAAAAAAGCGACGAAGATGACAAAAAACAATGACAAGAAAAGGGGGGAAAATCATCCTAAACTGTTCACCAACCTTTTTATGTAATATGATTTAACGTTTAATAATGCAAGATTCAATTATTAACATGCATGTGGTGTGTATTTTTAAGAGGTTTGTATTTGATTTAGAATAACATATGCAACCGTTGGCATGATCCATGTATATCCAAACTAGTCATGTCACACCTACACTAATTGTGTTTGACAAACTCTGAAGGTATTGATGGACTATATTTGGGAACTGCCAAGAATTTGTTAAAGAGGAAATGGCATCGTGAAAGGGGTGTTATGATTTAATAGAATCAAACGTTTGTGTATCACTGCCAATGTTTCCATTGCCAATAATGTGTCGCTTGTGGAGTATTATGTTATCCTTAATATCGTCTCATGATTTTATTATTGCAGATTGATGAGATATGTGCAGTTTGTCGCAATGCATACTTGGACTCATTTGGGGAACATATAGTACATTGTAGGGAGCCCCTGGATTCAAGTACTGACACGATATAGTTAGGATGTTCTTTTTGACGGTGTGTCAGGGTTTCTACCAAGAAAGAGACACATTAGAACTTCTTGATTGACCTGTTGGAATAAAGGTCAACACTTGGACCACTTGACGTTTTTATTTTTGGATGGGTAAGAGGGAAACATGTATGTGTGAATCTAAAATGGTTTCCTTTCTCGCGAGCTTGGGGAGCAGAGGTTTCACTGCGAGTCAGACTGCTTTAGAAATTATCTCATGTAAAGTGTCAAAACATAAGAAAGCGTACATGGAAAATCAACATATTTTTATACCATTCGCGTTTGATTTTTTTTCTTTTTTGGCTTCTTTGCTCCAGATGTTGTGGAGCTCGTTAATATAGTCCAACAAGTTATGCATAGTAATAATATTATGACCCCAAGATTTATGCAATCTTTAATAGAATTAGTTTTGTCATCTAAAAATGATTAGTGACGCAACTTGTTGTCCGTTTGTCAGGTCTTGTTTATATAAAAATTCTAAGTTCATGTTATGTTATAGGTAACAAGCTTTATCAAGTCTAATATATACGTTTACACAGAAAATCAAAATATGTTAAAATATACAAACTAAAGGATAAATCTGAACTTTATAATTGTTATTGATTAAATTTTATTAACTTAAGTTATTTAAAAGTACACAACTTAAGTTATGGAAGAGATGGAAAAAAGAGGGCTGAAGTGTAAAATTCCAACGAATGTCTCAGGATGTGTTTGGTTCGCTGGAATGGAATGAAATTCGGGGGAAAAAGAATCCAATTCCACCACATTCCACTGTTTAGTTCAACATTGTATGATAGAATTGGAATCCTGGATGAAAAAAAAAAGCTTTCTATCAAATAAGGAAAAATACTTTCTTTCAAGATGACGATGTAATTAATTCCCTACTATGAAGGAAAGTGGCATTTATGGAGCTTCCCTATCAATTTTGAGCCCTCTTTAGGATGTGCTTATGGAGCTTCCCTATCAATTTTCTTCTTCTTTCATCTTGTACTTTGTGCTTCTTTATTTGCACCAAATGGCAAACGGTGAGGGATCTGAGGGATAGGAAAGATGACCATTTCTATAGATTTGAGGATGAGAGGGATTAAATAGGAATAAAGAGGGAAAAACTAATATGGTGTAAGGGATGGATGGATAAATACCACCGTTGAAAAGAGGGAGAAAATAACCTCTTTGTTAGATAATCGATGAATGTTTATAGATTTTGAGCATCGTATATGTTTACTTTACGTACTGAAATTTCTATCTTATGTCTAAGTTTCGAGAAATTCAATCTTAGATAACCCTCAACGAACATTTTTAGTTTTAGAAAAAAAAACACACACACAAATAACATTACTAAAGATTATATGTGTGCTTAATATCTTAAAAACTACAACAAGTTTTGTTTTATGAGTACATATACTTATAATTTGGAATAAGATAAGATTGACGAAAATAACAGTTTTATACAATTAAAATGATTTTAAGTAATAATCGTCAAGCAGCCAAGTTGCATGGATGTGCTTATGGAGCTTCCATATCAATTTCTTCTTCTTTCATCTTGTACTTTGTGCTTCTTTATTTGCACCAAACGGCAAACGGTGAGGGATTTGAGGGATAGTAAAGATGACAATTTCTATAAATTAGGGGATGAGAGGCATTAAATGGAAATAAATAGTGAAAAGCTAAAGGGATGGATGGATAACCACCACTGTTAGAAAGAGGGAGAAATAACCTCTTTGTTAGATAATGGATGAATGTGTAGAGATTTTGAGCATCGTATATGCTTACTTTACTTATTGAAAATTTTATCGTATGTCTAAGTTTCGAGAAATTCATTCTTAGATAACCCTCAACAAACATTTTTTAGTTTTAGGAAAAAAAACACACATACAAATAACATTACCAAAGATTATATGTGTGCTCAATATCTTAAAAACTACAAAAAGTTTTGTTTTATAAGTATATATACTTATAATCTGGAATATGATAAGATTGACGAAAATAGCAGTTTTACACTGTTAAAAATGATTTTAAGTAATAATCGTCAAGCAGCCAAGTTGCATGGATGTGCTTATGGAGCTTCCATATCAATTTTCTTCTTCTTTCATCTTGTACTTTGTGCTTATTTATTTGCACCAAACGGCAAATGGTAAAGGATTTGAGGGATATGAAATATGACCTTTTCTATAGATTTTGGGATGAGAGGGATTAAATGGGAATAAAGAGTGAAAAGCTAATATGGTGTAAGGGATAGATGGATAACCACCACCGTTAGAAAGAATGAGAAAATAACATCTTTGTTAGATAATCGATGAATGTTTATAGATTTTGAGCATCGTATATGTTTACTTTATGTATTGAAATTTCTATCTTATGTTTAAGTTTCGAGAAATTCAATCTTAGATAACCCTCAACGAGCATTTTTTAGTTTTAGGAAAAAACACACACACAAATAACATTGTTGAAGATTACATGTGTGCTCAATATCTTAAAAACTACCAAAAGTTTTGTTTTATGAGTATACTTCTAATATGGCATATGATATGTAACATCCTGTTTTGAGAAGTTTCTTATTTCGAGATTATGGAAAATAAACGGATCAAGTAAAATCCTTGGGCTTCAATGGAATATGGTTTAGATCTTAATGGATGTTGATAATATTGAGTATGTGATCCAAGCCCTTGGTTGTGTTATGGAGTCAAAGGGGTAAAATGGTAAAAGTGATGTTTCAGAATTCTTTCATGGAATAAGGATTTTAGTTTGGTATGTTTTAAATCAAAAGTAATTAGATAGGATTGTGAAGCTCTTCAATACCTTTCCGTGCATATAAACAAAGAAGTTATGGTTGTTTGAAGTTGAAGTGGTAATCGGGAACTTTTGGGTTACACTGGGCGTACCTAAAATTTACGTTGGGTGTAACGGGTTTTAATGAATTACGATGGGCGTAATTTAAGTTACGTTGGGCGTAATCTAGGCAGATCAAAACCCTAAATCTTCGGTTTTGAGCCCTATTTAAGGGCTCTAACTTATGGGAAACCCTCTCATTACCAGCCTCCATCATCTTATATCATTCCTTATGAAACCCTAGCCTCCTCTCTCTTGTTTTTTAGCCTTGACATTATTTATGAGCTTATTTCTCCATTGTAAGGTTGAATCTTGAAGAGCAAGGTGGTGACAAAGAGTATAGAAGAAGAGTTCAAGTATAGATCCAACAAGATTACATCATTCATGGACCATTATGAGTAAAAAGCTTCTAAGGTTGAAGGCTTGGACTTAATGGATTAAGTTGAGAAAGATGCATTTTAGTCTGGTCCCTTTGAGACTTAAAGACTAGATGTTGGTTGTTTGTGTTGGGTTTTGTATACTACAACATCCTATGGTGCACATATGTAACGTCCGTGTTTCTGGGCTAAGCATTAATGATGATATAATAGTCTAGGTCAACCATTGGAACTCGTTTTGAAGTAATAAAAATGAATTATGTGCTTTAAACTTAATTAATATAATTAAGGATAAAATTAAGCGTCAAAAATAAATATTAGATAAAACCGATATCTATGAAGAAATTTGTAGTGGTTGAAACAAGGATTCCGGAGATATAAAGAATA